TCTTTCATGTAAAAGTAAATAATCGTAATATATGTATCGACTTTAGTGCATATGAAAGATAAAATTTTGTTTTTTAAGGTCATTCATTACAGCAAAAAAAAAGTTGGAAAAGAAAAAAAAAGCATTTCATTGCAGTTCAGCTCAACTGTCTTGCTCTATAAACATCACAGGAAGAAACATTATTTTATTTTCAAGCATTTTCACGTGCCGCCATCATTTCCATGTATTGGAAATTCAATAAATTCTGAATGCAGATTAAGTTCCAATTTCAGGCGTTTGAAAGTTGCCAAAGCGTCTTTTTCCGAGAGATTTGATTTACCTACAGCAGAAGTAGGGATTGAAGTTTGATTAAATATTGAATTTTATATTCACACCGTTCACACCATATTCTTCCGCTGGCAAACTGAATCTCAGGCAAATTTACGAGAAGATGCGATTTTCCCTCGGATTTTCCCCTTTTTCTAGATAAAGATTCTCGTGTGAAAGCTTTGCACATACAAGAGAAGGCACTGTGTGGCCAATGTTTCCGAGAAAAGAAACTTTCTAGCAAAGTCAGGAAGAGGATAAAATTGCAGCCACATCTCACGTTCGACAAGGGAGTTTCTTGAGAGCAAAAATGCCTTCTGGCAAAAGGTTTAAATTCATCCCTTTTCCATTAATAGGACGAGATGAGAAATCATTTTTTGAATAAAATTATGCAAAAACTCCAATATTTCATCAATATATGGAGGAAAATTCCATATAATTTATCAAAAATTAACCAATGAAGTGAGAATAATTTGATTTAATAGCTAAAATATGTGAAACATGATTTGGTGAAGGTTGAAATCTCTCTCCTAATTTCATGTTATATAAAGCAATCATAAAAATTTAATACTGATAAGGACAATTTCAGAATAAATTACTGCAAAATACTCTTATCTCTTTTGTTATTTTGCATAACTCTTGAGATTCAACGTCATAATTTTCAAACTTCTACTTCTGAAGCTTTATTGTTGAAATTCAATAGAAGTCAAACATTCTTTGCAAAGCTCGCTTTTCACGGATGAATAACTCTGCTGGAGCAGAAAATCGTAAAATTCAAGTGACTAAATTAAAATCCTCGGCCAGGCAAAGTGAGGAGTAGAATGGAAAGTCAGAAAAGCAATTTTTTCCATTTCCACGGATTTATTGATATATATACATATATAAATACATATATAAATACATATAGTGGAAATGGAGATGATTGCGAAATTTTCAGAAGTACCTCAATGGAAATTCCCCAATGAATATTTCCCGTCGTAATCCAGAATCAATACATTTTTATGGTGCATGGAGCGAACTTTAATTTTTCGTGTTCGGGCTATTTGAGAGGATTTCAGTGCTTCAGCAACTCATCTTGCGCTCTCTTGTGAAAATGCTAGCAAAGTGATTCTCCTGAACGGTCGTGAGATGCAAATTGCGGACCGTGATTTTGCACTGGCATCGCAGTGTCTGAATGTCATGGAAGATGCTCTTGCAGAGGTCTTACTGTCACCTCGAGTGGGTGGCGGTGGGTGGAAGATAAAAGGAATCACCTCCGGATGATGCGGTGATTCTGAATATGACAAGGTATGGCAGCAATTCAATGACTACACAGACTGTAGTGGATTCAAGGAGCGGAAAATGGAAATTTTGAACTTTCTCCTCTTCTTCAGCTCATCGTGACACTTCGGTTCGAGCTTCCCCCTCCATGGTATGCACTTCCCCAATTTTCCACGCGAGACTTGTGGAGCTTTTCCGCCATTCCGACGCATCCTCGCACGCCCTTGGACGTGACGGTGGGGTGGCTGCCCCTCTTCAGGCGTTGTCTGGCCACCCCACACTCGCGCCCTCCATTGCACCCAGACAATCAATTTGCATGCGATGCCCCTCTAATTCACCTCCTAAGCGGCCACCCTCCACAATCAATCAACCCCTTCTCGTGTCATCCCTCACAGGAGTGAATTGAGACATGGATGACGAGGAGTGGTGGACAGATCGGCCGCCTCGGCCACGTCCCTGGCATCCCTGTACACTCGGCCGAAGGGTCTGGGATCCAGCACTAGTGGCTCTATTAACTCCATCACCGTGAGATTATCCTGCAAAGACCAGAACAAGAAAGAGACACTGTACATTGTGTGGACGTCGCAAAATGAATCTGAAGAGAAGAGAGAAAGAGGAGCTTCATAAAAGTGGATATAAAAGTCCATTTAATATCTGCTCCCGTTTTTTGCTCACACTCAGAGAAATCATGCATATGGATTTCAGCAAGAATTGCATCAGGAGAGGCAATTTAATATCTTTGACATTATAGGAAATTCAATTACATTTGGAATTAATTAAATTTACATCAATGATATAATTTGCATTTTGGATTGAGTATGAATTTCATGTAATTATCATTATTTGAACATGAAAATCAGAGCACATCAAAGGTTGTGTAATTGTTATCAAATGTTTGAATTAGTCTTTTGATGTCGAATATTGCTAAATTTTCAAATATAAATCTGTTTGAGAATGTCAAATAACAGATTTTCCGACTAAAAATAATTTCTTTTAATGCTATATTAGCATATTATTTTAATATCGAGTACTGAATTTAAAAAATAACTCATTCTGATCTGTACTGTTGCGATTCATAGTCAAATTTCGAGAAATGATAGATCAATAAATTTGAATGTGCCGCGTTAATCATGCTATTAGATTCATTCCTGCGTAATTTATTGAGTGCAATATATTTCCTGCGCCAATACACATATTAACCGGTTCGAAACATTTGACATTATGTCAATTTATCAGTCATTTACAGATATTTCCGAGCTGATTTATACAGACTCGGAAAAAAGTGAAGTAGTTCAATCTTGTGTTTAAATATCGTTCCGTTCCCAAGTAAAAATGGCGCGAATTTCACGAAAAATAGCCAATCTGAAACTGCTATGCCGTGCGAAATCTCTGAGTGCACTTGTGTTTCATTGCTCCGGGGGAAAGGGTGTGAAATACCTCGAAGTTTATGTGCCAATGCTGCCGAAGAGGACTGATGGTGGCAAAGTGAAATCCTGAATTTGGCATCTGAGGCAGGAAGTAGCCTCGAATAGAGTAATTCACTCCGGGCTGTATAATCACCCCTCCCACGGCCCGAGAGAATGTCCTGTACACAATCTTGGCTGAAAGAAGTTCCTCTATAGCTTCCTCAGCCACAGGCATTTCACTATCACCCCCAAATGGAGTGGCTGAACTTGATGAAGATGTCAAGCCACGGAACGACTCAGGGCAGCATGCGGATTCATTCTAGAAATTTATGCAGAGGAATTCAAGGCATTTACATACATACATCGAAGAAGGGTGTTTTCGTGAATGTTTGGATAATCATAAAGAAAGAAAAAAAACCACTTCTTTTAAAGTATTTGCCATACATTGCAAGAGAGGAATCCCAATCGAAGCTCACCATTTGAAGACAGTTGGAAGTTGTAGCATTTTCTTGCAATAAATATTCTGCCTCTTTGCAGACGTCTGAATCAATGCGATTCCGTAGTCGTGCACAACTTTTCGTTACAAAGTCACAGCAGAAATTGTAAAATCTCCTTCCGCAATCTACAACTGCAAGAAGTACAAGTGTTGTGAGAATTTTTAAGTAATATTGGTCCTTGTGGATTCAATGCAGGTGAAATTGTAAGCTGTACCAGTACTCAATGGGTGAAAGGATTTATTGAAGTATCGCAGAATGGCTCGTATCAAGAGAAGGATGAAAAGAAGAAACGTAAGAGCAACTATCATGAAAAGCCAATTACTGCCATCTGTTTTTCCCCTTCCACTTGATTCGACCTTCCTCTCGATCACAGATATTTCCTGTTTCACACTCAAAACCATTTTCACAAAGTTCACAGCAAAACTAACCGCAGAAAGGGAGAAAAAATTCAACACTTTGAACTTTTTTTTCTACGAAAGTGCAAACAAATTACTTTCATGAAATCCAATATATGGCAAACTATGATTTTTAATAAAATGCACTCAGCGTTTGCGTTGAATTTTTCATTACCAGGTAAAAATGTATGCAATGTGTGTGATGTGGGAAACAAAGCTCCGAACATACCTTGAAGCGGAAAATCATTTCAAATGCAGCCAATTTTTCGCAACTTGCACTATGTCGTCAGCTTGAGGGGCTTCTATTGCAAATTCATGCTTTTGTATTGTGAATTTTTCAAAGTTTTCTCAGTATTGGAAAAGTAAATTACAGGTATAAGGAGTGCTTTGCATACGTTTCAATAAAGAGCTTTTTTCATAGCTTTTTTTTATAGGTATGAAGATTATTTTGCAACCTTTTTGCCAATTACATTACAAAGAAGAAAATCAGGCTATATTCATGTAACATTTTGCATTCATTCAATGTATTCTTTTGAGCGAATTTAGTATATAATTTGGAAAATTCTTTGATACAATCTTCCAGGGTTCTTATTTATTTATTATATAAATTTATTTTATTAGATACCAAAGTGAGGTTATCTTGGACGTCCAGTGTTTTTCTAAAAAGTTTTTCAATGAAAATATGCATAGAATGTTTTCTATTTTCAAGCACGTGCGTTTAATATCTCCGGAAATTAGGAAGATTATTTAATGTGCAACTTTTCTTCATGCCACAGGAAAGGTGTTGTGGAATTTTTCGATACTCTTCCCCAGTTCGATATGCATTCTGGGCGACATTGAATGCATCTGAAATGAAAATGGCGAGTAGTACTCTGCATAATGAGGTTTTCTGAATGGAGGTGAAAAATATGGTAAGCAGTGGAAGTCATTTTTGTGCTCCACCATCTTCACTTATTAACTCATACACGATCTCGCATTGAATTTCCGTCAGCAAAATGTAAATTCACTTTTCACTAACTGGAAAAATCATCTTCAAGAGCCATTTTGTGCTTCATGAATAATTCATGGGTCACTCAAGGGAGATATTTCGCTGGAAAATGAATGGTAGAATGGAGAGTCTTTGATGAATTTGTGCACTATTCTTAATCACCTTTATTTCAATCGACTCTTATCACAGGACAGAATACAATATTTTTTTTTAGAGAGATTCTTGTAAGCTTTCATTGGTGGAAGTGGTTAGTTAATTTCTCTAAATACTTGAATTTCTATCGTTTTTTTTTTCTCTTACCCTTTTCAATTACAAACTTTGCACTCTTGCACCGTTTCCGTCAGGTTCCTTCCTCCTAATTCGTATTCCATTTTCTACCTAAACCTTCTGCTTTTGATTACTACTTTGCATCTTTCTGTAATTTTGATTCGTCTAACAATTTAGTATTTCATCGTAACATTTTATCACATTTTCCTACATGTCCTACAATAGATTTCTCATATTTCGACTTAATTTTTTATTGCTAGATAAAATATTTTTATTATAGTGCATTTCGGTATGTGAGAGACGCTATAATATGACTAATATTTCACTTTTATATCTGCAACTATGTAATATTCTTCTCCACAATGTTCATCATTGCCTCAGTGAAAGTGGTTCGTAATATATTTCATATCTCATCTGTTTTAAGGGCACTACAAAGGGGATTAGATGTAGAGTATATATGTGTTTCTTGACATTTTCCTCTAAAATCTAACCATTTAATCTACATTAAAGTACAATTATTGTTTTTTAGTATTTTCGTCCCAAGAAAGTGTTATAGATTTTCTTCAAAATGTTGTTTTCATTGTATTAATATTTAGTATAATCGTGTATCTTTTTAGCTGGCTTACAAGAGGAGAAAGGAATAAAATAAATTTGGCACTTTTTGACTACTTTCTATTTATAAAGTTCTTAGTAATTCAGAATAATGAGTAAAAATATTTTAGAAGGAAGATGAGTGATAGAAATTTGTGCCAGAACAATAAATATGCATCTCGCATTAATTTAATATTGATAAAAGAGATTTGTAACTGTTGAAAATGTTATTATACACTTAGTTCGTGTTCATTAGATTTTTCTTCAAGTTTTTCTTACAATTTGTAAGCGTCCTGGACAATTTCAACAGTTACGAATTTATGAAAGTCCAATTTCTTCAATTAGAATAATAAGAAAATCGGTAATTTTTTGAAAATGTAATCATTCAAAAATGTACAATTAGGAATAGGTAGGTATTGCTTATCAAGATATCATATAATAAAATGTAACGTCATTCTTTATCTCTTCAACATTATCTACAAGAAATATATTTCTCATTTTCAAAAATCCAGATTTCAGAGTAAGGAGCACTTCTTAAATAACAGCAATTCCTTGCTTCTAGTATCTCTTCCTCCTAAATTGAGAGGGTTTCAAAGCAGAGTCTACCTTTATCTCTTGCCTATAAAGTGTAGTTTGTCTGAAGAGAGTGGTTTCTTTTTCTTCTCTATGGCTTTTGCATGTAAAGTCACCCGACTGTTCTATTACACTTATGTAACTCTGTCGAGCTTTGAGTAATTTGTGTGAGAAGGATGTTCAGCAACACTTGTAAGTATATCTAATGAATATCCTTTCTAGTAAATTCAGGAGAGGTTTCAGTTCACATATTCCTCCCGGTGTTCGTCCATTGGAATCAGTAAGATTCGGTGGGCAAATTGCCCTTTTGTGGCCACTTCACAGGATGTTGCACGTCTTCTTAGTGTTGATGACACTTCCGTGTGGACAATGGAACACGTCATTGGCACTGCCGCCCTGCGCTATGAGCCAGCCCAGTCTGCAAAGCGAACATTTCACCCCCCACAACAATTAGCACATTTCAATTTATTGATGCACCCCCAACAACGCGTCACTTACATATCCGTGAAGTCATCGGAGTCCGTGTCGATGCCACTGTACAGGGAATCGGCGCACAATTCCTGGGCGGAGACGAGATAGAAAATTTGCGTTGGCGATAAATTCAGACCACCCAGGCGCTCCATGCCCTTAATGGGGCCTGTGAGTGACAGGAGGGAATGATAAGCTATTTGCATGCCGCCCGAGTGTATGAGTATGTCCATGCGGCTCGAATTGGAAAATATATTCACGCTGCCCGGGACACATTTTAGGGCTTTATCCTCGAATGCACGCGTAATCGAGCGCAGAATCTCTTTTGCTATTTGTACACCGACCGACGCGTAGTGCAGATACGGCGGTAGCTTTGGCTTGAAGTATGGCACCAGCACCACAGACATCGGAACAACTGCAAAACACCATGCATTTTAGCAATTAATAGCCCGGCCAAGCGGATTCCGTGACCGGAATCGGCATTCACTATATTAATCATTTCAATGGCTCACCAATGGAGTGACTCAGAGAATCGTAGAATGACTGAGCAATGATGGGATACGCCCAGCTGGAAGAACAAGAGAATAATCCTTGTAAAGGTTTGCAGAAGCCATAATGATTTTGCTATACATTGTACTGCCCTTTAGAATGTTCATCAAGCCCAATCACATTTTGTGCATGCATTCTTAAGCCGTTGGGAATTAAATGAAGAATTTTTTCCTCAAGGAAAGTATCGCAAAAACTAATTCTCAGCACATAAGGTGAACTAATGAGTTAAAATGGCTCAATGTAAACGTAAAATTAATTTATGCTCATGATGAAATATTTATAAAGGGGTATTAAGTGAAGTCATTGATGGGAGATTTGCGTTTGCTCCAATAGTATTATTATTTTTTTCTTCAATGAAATAGAATATGAATTCCAAGTGGCTCAATATACTTGAGAGATTTCAAGTGGCTAAAAATAACTGTGGGAGAAAATGTGTTACAAAAACTCAAGAAATATGTGAATTATCAGGATGGAGTTATGAAGAATTGCGAGGAACTGAAGCTGTTGGGGTCACGTAAATGAATTCAATGTTGAGTGAATGCGGAAACTCACGCAACATGGGAGTCCATAGTGATATTATCGTTGGGACTCTGCTCCTGCTGTAATTTGTACAGCTTCAGGATGTTCTCGAACCAATTGTCCGTGCTGATCTCCACCTTCTCCAGCATCTGTTCAATTTTCGTGTGGTTGTACCACACTGGCCACGGATTGGCCTGAATCTTCAAGGATGACAGCTTCACTAGGGCCGCTCCCCGGAGCGAAGGCGCTCGTTTCAGGTGTGCTTTCAAGGTCTCAAAGAGGATTTCCGCCTGCAACAGACGCGACACACATTTACTAAAATATCTTTTGGCCAGACAATAAGTCAAGGTGCGGAAAACTTACGCGATTAATTGACTGTCGGACGGTGTCCATTGAATGTTGGGTCAAATAGAGTGCTGATGAGGCTTGCGGCAGGGCCCACATTGTGGCTTTCGTGCAGACCAAAGGCGATGGGTGGGTGGGCGGTAGAATGCCGAGAGCAAAGAGAAGGAGCAAGGAATTGTGGATTATTCGAGTCTGATGGTTTTTCAGCAGATCGCGCAGATGATGCACATAATTCCTGCTCCGCACGACAATCGGTCCTGACCAGTTCATCGGAATCATGTCACTCCACTTGAGCTGTTGCAGTGGTGAGGAAAGAAAGTGAGAAATCACATTATAATGTATGACAGCAAGTGTATAAATCACTATGAAAACACATTGTTCGCACGTGTCAGTTTGATAAAATAATTTGACGTGATACATGCAAACTTGTTCTGAGATAAATGCATTTTATATTGTGAATTTGCCAGACTTTCTTTCCTTATAGTGTAATGTTTGTTTTCCTAATATTTATTTCACATTTGTACACAAGTATTCTTTAACCTTCTGGATGTTTGACTTTCTCTAAAGAAACATCTGTTCTATGGCGTGCTCAAAAGTTTAACAAAGAGTACTAAAGTCGTTTCATTCTTTCCTGCATTCTTAGAGTTTTGTGTATGTTCAGTGGTGAAAATAGGACACAAGCATATAAAATGCACTAAAGATGATATAACAAAATTTAAAATTCTGACTCTCTCAGTCTAATGTTGATTGCAAAACCGCGCCATCAACCACCATTCATGTGAGAGAGTTTACACTAAATGGCAAAGGGTATAAATACATAATAATTGATTAGAACTCACGTAAGAGTAAGCCGATGAGAGTGTTGTCACATTGTCAACCAAGTAGCTGTTCGAGAAGTCCCGATCAAGATAATTTTGCCGGAGCTGGAAGAGATGAAGGAGGAAATGTGAACGACAAGAGGGGCGGAAAAGTACAGAAAGCTTCACTTCCGCAGCGGAAGTTACTCACCCTGTTCACTTCTGACACAAACTTGCGAATCAAATCCATCTCAGATTGTCGTTGCTTCGGGCTCAGACTGGACGGCAGAAAGACATTCATGAGATCGTCCAGAAGTTCCGGTACATCGTTTCGAATTTTGTAAGGCGGTGCTTTTGGTCCCATCCATCGTATTGTATTCTGTTCAGGAGCATACAATGCATGCCAAAATCAAATTGGGCAACTCGCAGGACAACAATGATCGATGGCCGTGTGGGTGGAAAGGTCATGGAGTGGTGGAATATATGAATTACCTCCAGAACTGATGCTGACGTCGTTGGTCCATCTATAATTAACACAATTTGTGGCTTACGGCCGTAACTCAAATCGAAGTAGACACCAATAAGTGGCGTCGGCCCGAATGCAGCGATTTTTGACATGAGCGGCGCAATGCTAGAGGGCCCCAAGCTCCCGCTGGGCAGGTATCCGCCGAGGCTCTCCAGCAGCAGGCGAATGCTCGAGGAGTTGAGCGTCTGGCGGAGGCAACTCTCGTACAGGCGGCCCAATTTTCGGAAAACGCCAGAGCTCGTGTTGGTCACCAGGAGATCTAGACACGCAATTGGGGTAATTTACCATTAAATTGATGGTGTGAGAGGCGAAATATGGATATGGAAAAAGAATTTTCAGTATGGCTGTGAAGTCTATTTCACCGTAAAAGTTGCTTCGCGACCTATTTTAATACTTTTGTCACGAATTTCAAAAATACACTAAAAATTATTATGGGAATTTCTGCTCAATTTCCCCATGGAACACATATTATGTGTCATGCAAGCGCTTAGGAAGAATGAAGGGAAATTATGTACTACGATAAAGTGATGTTAAAATTGCGCAATTTGACCAAAGCTCTACTGAATCTCGTGATGAGCATATACACAAATATAAACCGAATTAACAATGACAGTGCCCACAATCAGATTTAATCGAGGATGTAATTGATGAGATAGTTTCAAAGGCTTCAAATGCATCAAGTTAATTCCATTTGAATTGCATTTGATATCAACCTGGATATCAACAAGAATATCAATGATAATCCGCAAGGAGAAACGTGTTAAATAAAGTCATCAGTGAAATTATGAAGCATTCCTATACTCACTCTGCATTTGCAGGTCGACGCCCTCCTGCGAGCTTTTCACCACCGACACGCTGTTGTTGATGATGGGGCTGCAGCTGTAGGACTTGAAGTTCCGGCATGGGTCCAGATTGGCATTCATGCGGGCGAAGATGGTCATTGCCGCCACCCGGCAATCCTCATCTGTGCACTCGGGCGGCGGCTGGGGCGTCGCGAAGCAGTCCTCGAGCTTGTGGGTGAGACAATCGCGAGGCGCCTGGGAGGGAGCCGTGCTGATGAGGAAGAGGATGGGCGAGACGACGAGCAGCGAGGTCACGAGGAGAGTGGCGGCCGTCAGGGCGATCTTGTGAACGGTGGTGGAAGTGCGGAGCCAAATACAGGGGGCGCAGCACACCCACCCCACGGCGGACGCAGCCTGTGAAGAAGAGGGAAAACGATGAGGAAATGATGGGAAAGCTGCCGAGTCAAGCACCGATAATCATCCAATGATGAGCCGATTCACTCTGCCTTTCACTATTTCCGCCCAATTGGCAATTATGTTGGGGCAATTGTGTATTTTTATTGGAGTTACAAGGGTGGAATAATGTTGAGTAAAGGATTTATCTATATACATCTTTCAGCAGAAAGTCAAATCAATTCTTATTCTCCATCCTTTCTCTCATTGCAGTGTTTACGCTCGTGCTGTCTTTGACTGGAAAATTTCTTTGAATTCGTTGTAAACGCTTAAATCCCCTAAATTAAAGTCAGTCACAACGAAAAGCATACAAAGTAAGACATTTATTACAGAGTTTGTGGTTGTGTCCTAGAGAACAAGGTCACCACATCAATCAAACGTGGTATTATTGATGGTTTTCCGAGAAAATATTCACAATTGGTTTCCTTCAAAGCTGTGTGGCACCGGAAAAAGCTAATACTTTTCCATCTATTAGCTCCTCATAGTTCACCTATTCATTACGTAACGTGGCCTAATATGGAATAAAGTGTAAATACCAAGCCGCTGAATATAACAATTGGTCAATTCAACCGAGAACCATAAACCGATTCCGTGTGGGGAAAAGCTTGAGCCCTTTTCCCAAAGTGTTGCCCAGCAATTTGAATTACCACTCCCCGAGGAAAAGTCTCCACAATAATTGGTGGATAATTAATTTACTCTGCATCCCCCCGCTGACTCCCCTAAATCAGGTCGAACAAAATACACACACACACACACACACGTCCGCAAACAATGCAAAGGATTAACAATTCATTCAGCGTCTGCTCGCAATATCGATCCAGTTTCATTCATGACGCCTCAACCGTCGAGGGTTCTCAAATGAACAGCTGCTTTTGACGTGATTTTTCTATGCTCCTTTTTTTCTCTCGCTCACCATAAAGAAGAGTTTTGCTCTGGCAATTGAGCTGCCCGTTCTATTTTCCTATTGTCTTCCACCCGATTGGATCAGCAGCCATCAAGCGTCTCATCTCACACAGCAACGCTATCTTTGGTGCGTTTTTTTTTGCCTTTTTGTTGCACCTCGCAACCCTGGAAGCTCTTACCCGGAAATCCACCCCACCTGAACACCCACTTCCGTCAGCCACCCCAGCGACAAGGTGTGAGGCTTCGCGCTGAGATGATGCCGAGCGAGAGATAAATTGTTTATACATGCCTCGCCGAACTGAAGAGTGATTAATTAAGGTAAACATAAAAGGCAGACAGAGACTTTCGAAATTTATGGTTTTTCACGGGTGGTCGGAAATACTCTCTCAAGCACTGGACAGGCGAAAAAAGTTGGAGGAAAAGCGACTGTGTGAGAATGAAAATGTACACCCAAATTCTGCGGGGAATTGTAGCGTTTAATGAAGAAGAATGTGTGAATTTTACAAAATGTGAAAAACATACTTCAATTAGTGATATATTCACGTAATACACATGTTCATATATCAAGTCAGCATTACGTGAGATTTCGGGCAAATTGACCTCTATTACTTCATACGATGATATAATTGAAAAGCTCGTTTGTAAGTCAAAAACTTTACACTCATTAAAAACAAGAATTACATTTTTGGCATTTCGGTACACTTTTACACGCCGAACAGACTCAACCTTTATAACAGTTGAGGGACTTTTTTCGAGCGGGGACTTCTCTCTAGGGCACTCGCTCTAAGACCCTTTTTTGCTCTAGCGCTTTGGAGCTTTCGTGCTTCTGTGCTACAGTTAAGCAGACAGCGCCGATTTTAATGCTAAACGCGGCGCTATCGGCAATTACTCAGTTATACTTTGCAGACAGCAAAGTATCGCGGAAATCGACATAAAATATCTCAAATTAACTATTTAATTCTCCGTCATAGCCAAAAACACAAATTTAAAGTGCATTTTATGTAAGGTTTTTATTTCTCTCTTTTCCCACAAAATTAAAATTATTCAAAATCATAAGCATTATTTTATATGGAAGTTTTTGGTGTCAATTCTTACAGAATTTTTGAGATAATTTGGCTAAAAATATATAAAGGTCGCGACTCATTGCATTGATAGTTCCGTATTTAATACCACGAATGGTGAATATTCCGAGTAAACGCTAGCGAGAGCGTCAGCGAGATCTAGAGCCGGGAATCAGGTTGAATCACACTCCATCAAAAAGCGTTGATCTTTATTCGCGGCGTTTTTTGGTCCAGGAAAGTACAGAAGGTGAACTGGTACTGCAATATTCTGGATAGATCTTGGAAGAATTCCCCTGAAAATATCATAATCATTAACTTTTAATCATGATTTAATTTGATTTTAATTACTCACCGTAAATTTTAATTCGGGACGAAGGATTTCCTGATAAAAACTGATGATTAGGCTCGCTCTCAATATCTGATGGCTCGCTCAGCGTCTACCGCGTGTTCTCGTGTTGTTTCTGAATCAGTTCACAGTGATTCTTTTCCTCCAGAAATCGTCCTATTTCAGTTTGTCAGCAATTCATTGGCGTGATGCTGAAGAATATGCGCACGGAAGACGTTCTTCGGCAATTTCTCTCTGAGCTCATCTTCTGCAACTCGCCTTGCAGTTGACCGGCCTTTATCACTAATCCTTCGCAGAAGATGCAGCTTTTTATCCGGAAACATCTTCCACTCTCACTTCTCTGCAATATTCTTCACGTCTTGCTCACACATTTCACGAAAAACTAAATATTTCTTGCCAATTTCCAAAATATTGGCCTCGGAGTGACGTTCAAACGAATTGGCACAATAGTAGAACAGTCCGACGAGTGCCGAGCGGCTGTGCTAATCACCCGAGCTGTGACGACACTTGAAAAAGGCACCCTACAGTGTCGATTCTCTTTTTCACTCTGCCACACAACTGAGTATATTAACATGTTTTTCACGAAAATGAGAATTTTCACGGTAAAAATTCCTATGAAACGTTAAATAATTGCAGAGCGAAGGTGATCTGATCGTTTTCCGCGATCTTCCCGAGCAAAAATTGGCCGAAATAGGCATTTTGGGAAAAAAGGTCCCGTAAGGGCGTAAAAAAGTCCCGGGTCTGTGTAATCAATGTAAAAAGCCCAGTCTGTTCGGGGTGTTAAGGGAGAGAAATCTCGTTGTATATGTACATTATTTGGGGAAGTATACAGAGTGAATATCAAGCAATGTCTATGATTCGTTAGTGTCAGAGAAAATTATGGCTTTGTGGTGTATTCAAGGCATTCATCACAGTCCAACCATGGATTATCTTTAGGGCAAACCTTCCTAGTTGGACGTTGATATCAGTGAAGTGTAATTACGAGTTGTTCCCCAAAAGCCAAAAAATTGCTCCTAAACGACTGCTAAATTTATAAGTCCATAATTATGCTCTGCAGACACACACTCTCTCACTCTTAAGAGAAAAGGAGCTTACCTGTTTATTTTCTTGCGCTGTCTCATTAACGCCATGATCTAGCCTCTCCAACACCTGAATCTCGTTCTCGTCGCTCTTGCTCTGAGCCAATTTCGACAGGAGCTTCTTGGTGGCCTGCTGGGCACTCCCATCCTCCGTCTTGGCGGCCGCACCGTCTCCGCCGTCCTCTTTGCTGGCCCTGCGAGACGCCGATTCTGCCGTCATTTCAGTGTCTGTCTCTGTGGCCAGGAAAATTCACTGGATCAGACTCACAAAATCATCGCTTTTCCTCTCTCTCTCTCTCTCAACTCTGTCTCGGCGATTTCCCGGCGCTCGGTTGAGTGGGAAAAATTTTGTTTTCTCTCCGTTCTAGGCGAAAAAGCGCTCAAGTGTTGTTATGTAAAATTGACATTGGGTGATTCCTCTTTTTGCTATTCTCCTGAAGTTCCGAATTCTCCTTCGCCCACACGATCACATAACACAGTCCATTGACTCTTTTATCACAGCACAGAACTGAAAACACACTCAACAGCGAGACAATGGGTGAATATTTAATAAATTGCGGAAGTAAAGAGACATTTAACTCCGACAACACACCAAACATAAACTGGAGAGACGGAAAAACCACGGAAAAATGACATTTACGCGTGGTGTGATGTTTTCCTCGCAGAAAACTTATGATATTACAGCGAGTGCGCCGCCGTGGAAAATGCCTCTGTGAGTGTAGACTTCCCGACACACAGTTTTCCCTCCCTTGAACCCACGTTGCCACTGAATTGGGAAAATTACTCGAAAAGCACTGGAGCTGAGGTCAGAACCTCTGAAGTTCGATTCTAGCAAATTCACATGGACAACCCTGAAAGCGCAGGCAAAACAATTGGCAGACGATTTTCACAAGATTAGTTTTTATTGAGAGACTTGTGGAGCTTTTACCAGAAAAGTTTGAACAGTTAAACAGCCGCCTCACGAAATGTACTGTGCTACATAATTCTTGCTTTTTCCTAAATTTGTCATCCACTTTAAATACTCCTTCACAGATTCGTCTTTCCTTCTATTTAAGCTGTAAGAGGGAATTTTTTCCTATTCAAAATCGTATTTCATTGCGCAGAAAAATCATTACAATCCCGAAGAAAGTCCATTCATTCTAAGTCACATTATTGATATTGATTAAGTAATGAACATTATAGGCTCTTAAGTTCTCTGTTTTAATATCTCATGCTTTTCTCCGTCGCTGCTGCGATAATATTTTAGAAAAATATCTTTGTATGTTTTCTTCATTTACTTGCTATCTACTCATCATATTCGTTTCACATTCATTGTATTTTCATTCTTTCACGTGTGCAGTTAATATTTTCTTCACTCCATCGCATATCACAACTGCAAAATTTTCTTATTTTTCCACTAATGTAAAATGTGCAAATATTTTTGTAAAATAACTAAGATCTCATTCAATTTTTTTTTTTCAAAATGATATTGGCAAATTTCACCTACTAAACTTTGAAGTGATATTATTTTATTGTTACCCAGTATTTGGTTTCTTACTTTTAAAACAAAATTTTGTCAGTTATATTTCTAGTACTAAATACTTAAGTATTTGTGATTATGAACATATGTATAAATTTGAACACAAACGATATAAGAATTATATTAAATACCTCAATTAAACAATAGTTTAGTGTTAAATGATTGCAAATAACTTTCTTAAACACAATGTGTGAATTTATTTCTGCAGGAACTTTGAACAACTCACTCAATTTTATTAGCAATTTTCTTCCAAATTCTCTACAAAGTACAAAATAAACAAATAAATAACAATAAATATCGTCCCATTTTCAACAGAAAAGTTTTTAAGTCTGATGCCAAAGACAATGTATGAACGTTACGTGTAAGTTTTTGTTTGCACTTCGATCCATTATCAAATAAAAACCTTTGATAAAATTTCTTTGGTCGCTTCTAACATGCGATGCAAAACAGTGGCGTAGTTAATCTGGGGCGAGAGGAAAAACTTTTGCACTATCTATTGAAATATTTCTTTACTAAGTCTAGACTTCGTTAAGTGTTAAGGATTCTTCGCAATATCAAAAATATAGAACAGCAAAGCCGTTTTCAATCCAACACTGGGATACAGAATAAGAGTTCCAATTTAGTTGTTAACTTCAAATACTAGAAGAGTGAGGGAGGAGAAGTTATACGCTATGCACAGTTATTAGTTATAAAGGTATTTGCTTTAGGCCGAATCTTTCAACGTGAAGTTCAGGCAATTGTCGCTTCACGAACATTCACTACGCCACTGAAGTAGAATTCCTCCTAATATTCTTCATATATTGCTATCTTGCTTATTGTGCTTGCGTTCCTTTCTAATTGCTAAACGAATATCGTGGCTTAATTGACTGACTAGACAACAGTGTGGAGCTGCTTTTATAGTTGAATTAAATACCACAAATAAAATGATTTTTCCTAAAAACTAAAAATCTTCTTCTAAAACATACATAATTGTAGCACATGCGTATATCGAATGATTATAATAAATTACATAGAAAAATCACCTACAAAAGTAGAATATTTGCCTTATACAAAAAGCTATTTATACTTAATCTCACAGATCTCCATGAAAAAAATTCGAGTAGAACAAAAATGCTTGGTTTTATCACAATACTTTGACTATCGTTCTGGTTATCCTCTTTAGCTCATTATTACTAGATTCATGCCTGAAGATTTCTAAAGGAGATTTAATCGACGGTTAGGTGAGGGCAGATTTGGGAGAGTTATTTGGTTATTGTGTGAGTCTTGCGCTTCATCGTGTTAAAGGAGAAGGTCTTCTCGGGGAGTCTCTTGCCGTTCTGGATCTCCTTCTCGGGCGATCGGGACTCGATGGACTTGTAGTACAGATCAATCTTGAGGGATTCCTTGCTGACGCCAATTGGCGCCATGTTGGGCAGGGCTTTGAGGAAGCCATGAGCTCCGACTGGGATTGGCGGAGCCTGAGGAGCTCCGGGAGCGCAGCGATTGTAGAGGAATGGCATCTGTTGAGTGGCATTGGTGTGAATGGTGAGGATAGCCTCGAGATCGGACTCTTGCGCCTGGCAGAGGAAGTCACTGAACAGGCGATTAGGAATTGAGCCATACGGATCGAAGGAGTCACTCAGCGCTTCGGTTTCCTTGTTGTAGACCTCCAAGTAGTCGCCAAGCTGCTTCGCCACCAGGGCGCTGCGATCCTTGCTGAGAATCTTATGGCTGAAGGGATTACGTATGAAAAAGGGTGTCTTGAAGTTCACCCCAGATCGCTGGATGAACTTGAGCACCAACTTCTCGTGGCACTGCTTCGATTCAGTCGACACACGTCGCAGAATACACTCCAGGTACATTTGAAATGCTTTCCTCGCCTGCATCTGAGACATCTCGCTGCCGTTCTCGATCAGCTTCCGGATCTGCTTGCGAAGTCGCCTCGCCTCATCTGTGCTCTTGGGCTGGTACATCTTATTGCCCAGATTTAGAGGCTGACTGGTCTCCAGCGCTCTTTCGTACTGTTGCATGCGCTCGGCGATGCCACTCTCCACTTCCGTGGCGTTTGGCGGATAAAGCTGCCCGTGAAGCATCACGTTGAAGTTGTGAGGAATGATCATGGCACACACGGATGTGCCAGAAGGCGGCGGCGTGGACGTGGGAATGCCTGTGATGGGATCCAGGTACATTCCATACTTACTGAGACTATCCTCCGTGGGGAAGATACGAATGAAGCCGCTTCGCCGAGCAAACTGAGCCTTTGCAGATCGCACGATCCTCAATTCCTCCGTGGTGAGACTCGTGAGGGTGTGATGCTGATGTTTCTTGGGCAATGTGTGACTGCCCTGGATAAAATCCGCCGAGTTGGCGCGTCTGCCGTGCAAACTGCGATGCCTGACGTACTTGCTATCGTAGGCCGCCTTCAGGAGAGGACTAATCGCCGGAACGCCCACCATATTCAGCAGATCCGTGAGCAGTGAAGCTTTCACCTTCGCGTCCAGTGGCGTGTCGATGCCCAGCGACGGGGAGAGATTCACCTCTAGCAGCCACGGCTTCAGCGTATCGTCAATGAGAATATCGAAGCCATACAGCTCGAAGCAGTTGTTATTGTTTGGCACAAACATGCGACACGCCGCCACGATTGACTGTGCACAGGAAAAGATCGCCTTGATGATCACATCTTCGATGTTCAACATCAGCTGCTCAGTGTCGCATCCCTGACTCTTGAGGTGTCGCAGCAGAGCGCTGAGTGTCCACTTGTGTCCCACATCCTCATCTCCGGCATCCCGACTCTTGATGTAGTCCGAGTGGTACTTGTTAATGCTATAGTTGCACAGATGCATGCATGAGTTCCACAGGAATTCAGAGCTGCGGTTGTACTTCACCGTGGCCAAACGAACAAGTCCTTCTTCGTAAACGTAAATAAGCAGTGGATCGAACGATGTCACAGCCACGTAGAGACGCACGTCGCACTTGTGACCATCAATACAGAGCGGATCACTGATGTACTTGGCCACCACTAGCTGCTCATCCGAGGGAATCTTGTCCAACTGGTAAAAGGGAGAAGATACAGTCAGACATCAGATTTGGCAATGTGCAGAGCGAAGAATACTCACGGTGTTGACAATGTAAATGCCGCGACCACGACTTGAAGCAGCCGGCTTCACGATCCACGGGCCACGGTACTTGTTGTGGGCGCTCACGAGGTCACGATACTCAGTGGGCAGTAGATAAGATTCTGGCACAATATCGAAGTTCTTCGAGCCACCTCGCAGATGTTGCATCTTCTCGATGTTCTTATACAGTCGATCCTTGCGTGTTAACTCGGATGATCTGCAAGATAGGAATTGAATTAGGCAATTACTTACGTTTGACTTAAAGAAGAATGAACCCCTCGGAATTTGTATTAATAAGAGCACTTTGTTTACGCTAATCGACGGCTTATCATTTTACAATGCACCCTACAATCAATTCTTATCTCATTCCTCGAAATACACGAGTATCTCTCATTCTGGAGATAAAAAATTTCTTAATTAACTCAGCGAGCGTATTTGTAAATTCGTATAGAATAGAACGTTTTTTACGCGTGACTAATAGGGTTAATTGTCTTTGACTTGAGCCGGAAGTCTCGAAAATATTGCATATCATTGCACTGTGAATTGTGATTGCAAAATTATAGTTTATTACTCGCATGGCTCATATTTTTCACAATAATTGATGGTTCTATTCATGATAAGAAACAAAGAATGTTCATATACAAATTAAAAGAGAATTATACCAGTGGTATGATGAAAAATAGGCAGAAAAGGGCATAAATACACCATAAAAAGGGAATAAAATCGCCCCAAAATTGGCTGAGTGGAGTAAAATCTTCTCATTCATTTTCACTCCTCCTTATTGCCATATCAAAATTCACTTGTGCGAGCTTTTATGGAATATTCATCAAAGTCTGAGCACACGCAAGACCTGAGGCACTTGGTGTGACGAAGAAGGCAACTCGTAGCGCTATAGACTCCCGCAATTATTCTCCGTTTGCGGCACTAATGGATAGAGGTAAATTTTTGCCATCAAGTACAAATACACGCATGTTATTGATTTTGGTTTGGGGAGCAACGGTGATTTAGTGTTTTGAATGAAAATGCCAATAATATGCAGATTTCCACTGACGTGAGACAAAGGTATGAAGAATAGCTCCGGAAGTGCCTCATAAACATTCACAGGCGGGGGCGAGGGTAATAGATGGTGTACAACTCACCTTGGGAAGTGATTAACTCGCTGATAGGGCAGTAGATTTCGCAGAATATCAGGCTTCAGATGAATTCCCGTCCACAGGATGTTGAATGTCTCATCCTCCTCGGCCTCTTTGAGCCCATGTCCACCGAGGATCTTTCTCAACAAGCGCGTCTCTGTGTTCATGAAGCGATATCGGATGTTGAGAACAGCTCCAGGCATTTCGGACTTATCTTTGGGCACAATTACATCTGTGGCCGAGATCTTTTCCTTCTTTCGCGGAGACTTCTCCGTCGAATCACTACCACTATGCTCGTTGGCGTGGGTTTCGGAGTCAGAGATTGACTTGAACTCCACCTCCTTCTCCATATCACTGCCCGTTCCACTCGAGTCGCTGCCATTGCGATGCGAGATCGACGGTTCACTGATTGAGGACACGAGCTGCACCCTCAATTTGTTCACCAGCTGCTTTCCTGGACCCTTGACAGGCTTCGGGGGCTCAAGCAGCGGCAGAGATTCCACCACACACTCACTGGACGTGGAGGGACTACAGCGATCCACCAAGTCCACCTCCGACGTCGATGTGCTGCTCTGCGACAGGACACATGTTCTGAATACAAGAACGGCATCTCTTGAGCCGTGGGCACCACCTGTTATCCATGGATCGTCAGCCTCCTTCTTCTCTGCCTCCTTTGCACTGCAAAGAGCCACGAGAGCAGAGAGGGGAGAAACAAGAAATCAATTAATTCTGGTTGTTTCACTATTTCTGCACATCTCTCTCTCTTCACCCAACACCAAGTCAAGTGAAAACTCAATAAAATCTGCTCAAGAAATTAATATTGATTGAAATTTTAGATTGAAATGAAAGCTACATAAAATCCACTTGATGTGGAGTATAAATAAAATACACTGTCTCGCAGAAAGACATGCTCACAGGAAATAATGATCAATCAATGTAATTCAAATAGTTAATTGGGTGAATTTGGTGAGTTTACTTTGTCTTTTGTAAACACATATATTTCTGTATTTCACCGTGAACCGATAATTATGCGTGGCAGTGTTCAGCATTTTCCAATCTGAAATACATATTGATATGCACAACTTCACTGTCCCTGATTTCATATAATAAATTATCATACTCGACCAATTTAGAGCAATCCTACATAGAGTGACCATAATAATGCAAGAAGTACAGCATGGGAAAGTGAAGTTGAGCAAATCATTTTACGGTCACTGGAAATTCAATTACACACACTCAATGGATTTCTTTATAGCCTCAGTAAATACTCTTTCCTCAAATGTACAAATACCAAATTCTACAGTATAATACTTTCAATTTCAACTAATGTCTACACAGAACACACAGTGATGTATAAGATGAATATCTTGTAAAATATTAATTACCCGATGTAATTAGTTTTTAATGTTTTCAATTGAACACGGGTTTTCTGGTTTTGCGTGATGAGTGATTTCGGTAAAAAATCTTTATACAGTTTTCTTGAATACACAGGTGGACGTTCATCCGACGTTCGATATCGATATGTTCTACAAATCATCAATATAAATGTTTCAAACTGTTAAATTGCAGCACATGTAACATTGAATGGATCACGTAAACTTATGGACTCAATTCTCACTAAAAATATAGCACTTAAATCAGACATTTGTACAGCGAAATATATACCTGACTGTTGGATCTGGCAATCTTACAACTTTGTCCGATGTTGGCATTTCCAAATTGGTCTCTGCGCTGCGATTATCTCTGATCAGCACATGGAAAGGAAGAGTTAATAGAAAACCTATTTATTTCAATGTCACACAACTCATCACACAACATTTTTATCGTTTGCAACAACAACAACAACAACACAGAGTGGGAGATGTTGGAAAAAAATGTCGGAATTTTTGCCCAATACATTACAGAGTTGACAGAAAAGTCGATTTCTCCCTATCAAATTTTTGCATTACACTTCATATATGAATGGAATGAATTATCATATGATTTTAGTTAGGGCAAGTTTGAATAAAAATGAAATCTTCTGACTGTTAGTTTTGAGCATAAAGCGGGGCAAACATGCGGCATTAGCATTGGGATTGATTTGCATAAAATAAATTATGCTTTCAGTCTCTAAACTAGACAAACATACACACACACACAAAATGGGATTGAAGAGATTGGCGTGTGCACATCAAGAGTTGGGCAAAAACTGATTTTGATATTAAACTTTTCTGATTGCAATAAATTGAAATAGAATGAGTGCTTCTTACACGATAAATAACCACTCCTCATATCCAATTTCAATAAGTATTTATAGTGAAATAGCGAATATTAAAAGGCAATAAATTGACATTAAGTGACTATGGTTATCGACTCTTATTGGCATTATATCAGTCACGACTTCATGCATGCGAGAATTTGAATACTGATGATGGGTGAGCTGATTGTGTGATAAAATCAGAGCATAAATCCACCTTCTGGAGGCATTAAAGTTAATCATTTGATTAGCGAGAAATGGGATTAACAGCAAGTGGCGCGGCGATTAAATAGGCAAAGTGGAGTTTATTGAGTATAGGTAATGTGATCGAAAGAACCACATTAAGAACGGCATCAAATACTCGAGGAACAGGGTTAATGGGTTGATTGCTGCCCACTTCTCATCAACTCAGACTTTCTCGTTAGGCAAAGTGTGAGTAAACCCATGCAAAAGACTCAAATTTTTATATCGATAAAGTGAGGTATTCGCACGCAATGAAACGGAAGAACGGTATAAAATTGCCTCTGAAATCACTTTCACACTTTTGCTATCGGGAGTCACTGCGAAACACCTTTATTTCTGTTATGCGAGTGTCTTGCGATAAAGTTCCCTTGAATTCGTGTGACACTACGTCATCGATTGTATCAATGATTCCATCATAATCACTGTCGGACACAAGTATTATAAATACATCAGCGTTCCAAATATATCATTCACTATCGCATGCTGTTGAATGTCTCCCTCTTTTTGCTCTCTTCCAGCTCACCATCCAGCTTAAGTTTATATTTTCCTATCAGGTTATCACAGAACAAGAAGTGAAAACAATAGCACACGCTTGAGAAATATGAGTGTCACAACACGGAAAAATGCGATGACGTTTTCCTAATCTGATTAGCAAGGCTCGCTGGGTGCTATCAGGGCAGGAAATATGCCGATTACGGAGATGATTGAGATATCTTCCATATACGAAAGAGCCACACACTTTGCGCTTAAATCTGAGGCATGACTTTATCCGTCAATATTTGAATAGCAACTAAAGCGATATGAAACTTTCGCCGTCGTCACAACCAAACGGTGGAATTGCTATATAACAGTCTGTATACTATGTACCGGTGGATGTGTTAGCAATTCAGTATTGTTTAGGCATGGCTCGGCGCGGGCTTTGCCACCACCGCGAGCATCGTTACAGCCAGCATTTCACACAAGACCCAGCACAGCAGAAGCGCACCCGCAAGAAAATGTGTAATAATAACTATTTGTAAGGTTATTGCCGATATACACAAAAAACTAATACGTGCTGTGGCGAAAGGCAGTGCATGCGTGTGTGTTGCCAGCATATAAAATATTATTGATATACAGAAAATGCTATTTACTGGTGACTTGATGGAATGTTTTATCAATTTACTTGTATAAACTCAGACGCTGAAAGTTGTGCAAGATTTGTCCAAACATTCCCATTTATAGACACTCTTCAGCAGGTGTAGTTTCTTCTACTATTCATACCAATTGAGACATGGTGTATTTACACTAAAAAAAAAAACATACTTTCATGTCTATTAGAGTCCACTCAAATGGGCCAAGGTTGATGAGGGAGAACAACGCGGATCAGCCAAAGGTGCAGAATTGACTGAATTGGGAGGAAAATTGCACGCTTTTTCTTTGCACTCAATTATTTGAAAAACAAATTTCCGTCTGTGTCGCACACAATTGAAGATAATTGGGCCGATTCTATTGTCCCGCTGAGATTCAGTGAACCACAAGAGAACTAATACAAAAAGTTACACGGTTACAAATTATATGCCGTTGAGAACAACAGATTAATGTCAAAATCATATTAAAAGACGAGGTATTTAAAGCCACAGACATCTCAAGCATTTAAAGATTAATTTCACACTTAAGTATGTTGAAAACATTTTCTTGTAATCCCAATTTTCAAGAATGACAAACACACGAGAAACGCAAAGGGCGGTGTTGGGATTTCAAAGAAGATGTGAGATACAATTTCTAATCGTGTACTCAAACACTCATTTTATTATTAGAACAGTGAATACCACCTACAACAATCTATGCAATATCAAATTTACTAGAAAATGTATGAATGAAGAGGGAAAAGACCTTATTTATGGCAACAATTTTGCTAAGAGAGTGAATTTGCTGAGAAAATTACAGTCGAGCGATATCACAAATTACTCAAATTGGTTATATTTTATACAATAGATATAATACAAGTTGAGGTTTTACAAACTATGCCTAAAAATAATCTGTTTGCATGAAATACATCGAATAAAAAGTCACATATAACATTTCTAACAAAAATGCAAATTGACTTTCAGTCAGACACGCAAAATATTCGTCTATTCACCCTCAATGGTAGAGAAAAAAAAAAATTAAAATTCCCCTCGAAAATGTCTAAAAAACATCCTCTTTCTCGGTGTCTCAACGCCAATCTTATACGATGAATCATGTATTATATTCATTGAGTGAAAATGTATATTAATAGCATTTTACGACATATCTGCAATTCCTCCACGAGAGAACAATGCAAACATTAAAATTGCCGAAGCAATAAATTTATTAGACAACTATATATCGTCAAGATGATCACAATTTATCGCAAGATAGAAACACTCTTTCAATATATTCAATTGTTGCGGATGAAAGACGGTCGATCATCACTTGATCCTGAAGCGTGAACAATTTATCTAATACACACGGAATCAATTGAGAAGCAATTTTCACAAAATGCACCCACTTGAGAATCTCCACGTCAAGAATTGTACTTTAATCGAAGAGCAGCACAAATATCTTAAGAGGTTTGATCTCTGTGAAACTAATAACAGTTGTCACGTCAAGAAAACCCATCATTTTGACCTTAATCCAGTTGAATCATCGCTGATTCAATATTAATGGATTTATAGCGTGGTTTATAGAGAATTTGATTTCAATGAGCCACAGGAAAACAGTATTAGAAAAAAAACAAACACTTTATCACACACACAGTCCAGAGAATGTAATGACACAAGTGCCTAATGCACAGGATTAACATCGTCTGAAGTCTCTCAGAGTTACCAGAAGCAACCGAACTTCTAACAAATAATCTAGCTAAAACTTTCATGTAATTTGCCACGGTAAATGCGGCAAATTTCGTTCTATGTATATTTTTTCAACTTAGCAATGCTATAGAAACTGTCGTTGTTAACTAACATACAACATTATCCCAAACAGCGCCCACGACCACATTTTTCTTCACTGCACTTTTCCAGTTACCTTTTTCCACACAGTTGTGGGCGCGGAGTGGAGAGAAAAAAAGAAGAAAAGTTCTTGTCATAACTCTCCTCCACCTTCTGGCCTCCTCAGCATTGGCACAACAAGAAGCGGAGGAGAAGGAATACAACACAATTGAATACAAATACGGGGGAGTTAAAATATGATGTCAGGAGTGTAATAGGAAATAGTGTCTGATGATCCCTTTTGTAAGCAAATCGATTTAATAAATTTCACGATAGAACCAAAGCGATTCTAGCAATATCATCACTTCGCCACTCCATTACAGGATGTTTTTTACACGCCTTAAATCACTTTCAGACAAGTCTCGGCATATTTAAAGGCGTGATTTGAGTGTTATGCTTTTGCTTAGAAGAAAAACTCGAATAAAATTCCGAGCATTCTGAAAAATGTCGCAAATTACGCAGATTAAATTAACCCAATCTCAAGAAATTGATTTAGGGCACGGAAATAGCTTTTCATAGGAATCCACTTAGACTTTTTATGGAGAAGATAAAAAATGGTTCCGTCTCTAAATTCATCAACGCTGGTTTCATCAGTGACTTCATCGGCGCTAAGAGTTTCTCTGTGTATTGTATTCTTATCAATTTAGGGTCTGTTGTTCAGGAAATTAGACCACAGAAAGGCTTAGTGAAAACCTTACAAAGTATTCCAATTCCTTTGTATTTTGAAACATTTTCTTCAAACAATCAGCAATAATCGCGATATCTATATTTATACAATATTTTATAATCTTCAAGAGTTTCCGCAAACAATTTTTACCTAAAAATAAATACATTCAGTAATATTGGCAGTAAATATTGATAATAAAAGTGGATAATTGGCAACTTTTTAATTATTGGGTAGTAGATTAGGATAAGTTAATATTCGAAATTTTTATCATGAAAGCAATTCTTCCCCATATGATGACACCTCCAATAAAAGAGCAAATTGAATTGAACGAGAGGAACTCCCACCACTCATATCGCACACATCGAGAGCGGATAATTGAGACAAGAAATAAAAGTCTCTTTTTTTCACGAGAATCGCAACTGATAAGGAGTCTGCCAATGGATGTGAGAGCGTGTACTTGAATTTAAGCCCCTTTATTCGATTATACGTCTTCAGTTGGAAAGCCAGTCTGCAACGCACCACCGACCAGAGCAAATGCTCCCCAGGAAAATCCTTCAATCAGACGTGTTTCTCCGGTGATCTTTAGAAGCGCTGAGAAAGTGTTTTAGTTGAGTGTCTTCAGCAAGTATCACTCTTCGCGGCATGAAGCTGCTGTGCTGTTCAAAGTCTTGGAATATAAATTCCCAACAATTTGACAGAGACAACGATGTATTTGAGGTGAATTGTGGAAGAAAAAAATTATCTCTTAAACAATACGTCTTAACTTCCTCCACATTGCAGATCGTATCACCCCTTCCATGTGGGACCATAAAGCAAGATAAACCGTTCTCAAGTGTAAGAATCTATAAAACAAAATCTGTTTGAATTTCACCTCTTTATCGAAGGCGTGATTATGAATTGGCATTTTTTTCTCCTCTCTAATCAGCCCCCACTTCAGCGACGTCTTGGCATACGTGCCGAACCGCCAAGTTTGAATGTTGCAGAGACTCAAACCATTCCCAAGGATAGGGAGACCGTCGAGTTCCTGAAGGTTGCCATCCTCAAGAATGACTACCTTAAGAACATCATGGACGACACGAGATTGCAGCTGCTCGTGGATGCAATGAGTCCGGGATTCGCGGAGGAGAACACCATGATTATTCGCGAGGGAGACGAAGGAGACGCCATGTATGTGTCCTTTGAGGGAAAGTTCGCAGTGCTGATTGACAATAAGTTCATGGGAGATTTTGGACCGGGAACCTTATTTGGAGAGCTCGCGATTCTCTACATGGCTAAGCGATTCGCCTCAATTCAAGCACGCACAAATGTGCGATTCTACAAACTCCCGCGACAAGTCTTCCAGAAGATCATGGTGAACACAGGACGAGAGGAGAGAGAGCACAACCTGCGTTTCCTGAATAGCGTACTGTCGTTCCAGCGCTTCTCGAATCGATCATTTGTCATCAATCGAATGGCCGATCTGCTCAGACGGGAATTTTATCCATCCGGCTGGGAGATCATAAAGCAAGGCGACAAAGCTGACAAGTTCTACATAATTCGGGGCGGAACAGCGACGGTGACGCAAACATACGAGAACGGGAGAGTCCTGGAAGTGGACGTGCTCAAGCGTGGAGACTACTTCGGTGATCGAGCTCTGATCACCGAAGAAACGCGCGATTGCTCAGTGATCGCTAATAGTCCGGGAACGGAGTGTCTCATCCTCGACAAGAGGGACTTCATAAGATACGTGGACTACAAGGTCTTGGATCAGATGGACACAAAACTGTCGATGAAGGATTTAACTGTGATTGGCACGCTCGGTGTCGGTGGCTTTGGCCGTGTTGACTTGGTGACCGGACCAAACAACGAAACATACGCTCTCAAGTGTCTTAAGAAAGTGGATGTTGTTCAGCAACAACTGCAAGAGGAGGTTTACAGTGAGAAAAAATTGCTGAAAATGTGTGATCACAGTTTTATAGTTAAGCTGCGTGCCACTTTCAGAGACACCCGCTTTGTCTACTTCCTAATGGAGCCCTGTCTCGGCGGTGATCTCTGGACACTGCGTCAGAAGAAGAAGAAATTCCGCGAGCCAGACGCCAGATTCTATCTGGCGTGCGTGATAAGGGCCATTGAGTACCTTCACTCGCACAATATCATCTATCGAGATCTCAAGCCCGAAAATCTCATGCTAGATTCCACAGGATATCTCAAATTGATTGACTTTGGATGCTCTAAAATGACAGTTCCAGGTGAGAAGACGTACACATTCGTCGGGACGCCCGAGTACATGGCGCCGGAGATGATCATGAACAGAGGCTATTGCCGATCAATTGACTGCTGGTCAGTCGGTGTGCTCGCCTATGAGTTGCTCACGGGAAAGTCCGCCTTCGTCGGACAAACGAATCTGGCCATCTTCAGCAGGATTCTCAAGGGCATCCCCACAAATCAATACCCATCTCATCTCTCCAAGGAGGCCACGAGTCTTGTCTCGGGACTCTGCCGTGTGAATCCCATCACGAGACTCGGGTGCCAGAAGGAGGGCATCTCTGGCCTCACAGAGCACGAATTTTTCCGCAAGTTCAACTGGAAAACCCTCACAGCCATGACAATGAAACCACCGCACGTGCCAAAGGTGAAAAATCTCGCTGATCTCTTGGAAGACACCGATCCCAAATACGAACTGCCGCCAGAGGACTTTTCCGGATGGGATCAGGGATTCGAGAGCTAAATTGCATGTTATTTATTTCACATATTTATACTGTCTTTTCTACTTGTGCTATTTATAAATTGTACACTTGAAATCCACCTTTTTTTTCGCCTGCTTATTTGCTCTTCCACTCTTGTTCATGTCTCGCACTTTTTGTTCTCTCTCGAGCACTTTCACTAAATTGGATGATATGGGGATATATTTTCCAGAGTGGCCATGACTGTTCAGTCACAGCGAAGCGTAGAAAATGAATTAAATCTACATTCATTTGCAGCGTAATAGAGCGTAACTTGAGTAATTACCGTTCATTATCTCCTGTCAATTCTTCTTGAAATTTAGTGTAAATTTTACAATTGTTGATATATCCGCAATATTTACTATCCCATTTAATTACCCACGCTCGCCGGAACTGCGGTTGAAATCGAACTTCAAAAGATAACATTTCTAATTTCTCTCTATAACGATGATTTAGAGTTTTTAAACTTGGCACTATTCTAAAAATAAAACAAAATAAAACACAAGAAGGTAAACAACAATGTATTATGTATTTTTTCTCGAGGAAAAATTACCTCAGAATATTCGCTGTTTTATGTTTATGCAATTGCGCTGATTCGCTACCCTGTGAGTTTCTTCAACTTCTTATCTAACCGCTATTTAACCCAGTGCTTGTTGCTTTGACTGGGTGATTTTGAACTCCTCTAAGGACAGATTTACATGACACATGACTGCGAAACATGAGGTAGAAAGACAAATTCAATAAAAAGAAACTCAATGCATGATCACATATCCATCATGATTTTTATGTTTCCAGCAGCAAAAAAATGCCATTGTGAATATATGACGAAGAAGTATATATTGATTTAAATGTACGGTGGTATATTGAGTGGAGGAACACCTCTTCTCAACATTGCAATTTCAATTGTCTGTGCAGACGATATAGACAATGGATTCGTGATGAATAGTATTTCTATTAAAAATGGAAAGTTTCATAAATGGAATCCGGAAGAGGTTTCGTGCAGCAGCAAAACGAAAATAAATTTTTGCGAATATTGAACCCTTCTTCTCACTTTGTTTTGCTCTTTATGATTGAAACATGTGTATGACTAAAGCGACAATACATCACGATGTTTGCAATATAAGTATAATTTATTTCAGAATTTATGTCATTTCGCCATATAAGCTAATAACAGCCAAGAGTTATTTGCACAGTGATTAGACATTGGATGGTTAAGGGGAATCACCCCTGAGACATAAGGGCTCTCGACTGAATAGCACATATATTTCGTGGCGATGTGACAAAAATAGAAGCCCATCTAAATAATTATTGACTAGATAGACTCACTCATTAGGTATTCCTATGACAAAATATGAGGATTCAATTGTGTGTAGCATGAAAATTCTATTTTCGCACACGATGTCATGAGAAACTTTTCAAATCATTACCATATTTTTACTGACTTTTCAGCTTTCCAACTTGCGGTTGAGTCTAATTTTAAAGCATCAAATACACGTGGAAACTTCTTCAACTCCTGTAAATCACTCCGTCGCACTTTTTCGAATCAACCCAACAACAAACTTGTTAATCTGATGCACACGCGAATATACTTCATAAATCTGGTATTCGAGTTTAATTCCACAAATTGCAGGCTAACAATCTCTAAACTCAATAATAAGAAGCATTCCTCGTAATTCGTGGCAAAAATCGATCTCCAGCCTTGTGACAACCAATAAAACGCCAGTGAAATAGGATGAATTATTACACAATCCTTGTGGGACACGTCCTTGAGCCTCTTTTGCCCGTTAAACCTCAATTCGGCCTCTCGCTGAAATATGACTAATTAATAGGGGTTGATTGTAATATGTCGTGGCTTAGTCATTTGAATATGTGTTATTCGTCACAATGTTAAAACCGTTAAAACCATTTTTATGTCTCATCGTGAAAATATTCCTGATGTTGAGTTACCTCAAGTGTGCCTTGAAGTGTCGATTAAAGTTAATCGAATAAACCTCGAAGTATGTTTGTATGTATCAGACGGAATATCATAAAAGTACTTAACTAGAGACCATTAAACTTTGTACTTTCATTCTTATTCGCTTGGAAAATGGAATATAATATTTGAGATTGAAAAATAAAGTCACTTTCTCTGAATAAAATTTACCACCAAATAAGATCTTTCGTTTGAAAGTTTGAAAAAAAAAGCGAAAACTGTGTAAAGATAAGCATTAATTGAGAAACAGTTATGGTTGCATTAAATAATTATCGCTGGATCGATTTCATTATGTTGAAGTAAGGAGCTATTTTTGTCTCTCGTGCCATGAATGCACACACCACTCCTTAAGCCACAGAAAGCTCAAAAGTGAGGTGAAAAATTTTTAATTAAATCGCTGTGCATTTACGGACTAAGGGCAAATTAAATTTCGCGTGCTTCCCGAAATAATGGGGAATCTCGCGAAAGCCCTTAGTGAAAAATGTGCCCATGTCTCCGGTGACTTCTCCTGCCATAACTCTCTGTCGTCACGCTGGAAAGTTCAGTCGTTCATCAAGGACGACCACATGACATGTTCGAGGAGGTAAATTACGCTGCACACGAACCACCGCAATTTGTGCCGTTGCGACGAGGACGAGAGATGCTGATTTGGGAGCACAGACCACGAAGGTCACGAACGTCGCTGCGGGCACTGCGACAAAATCCGCAGGCCCTTTCCTCCTGCACGCACTAATAGGAAAAAATTAGGAGCGACTCCTTGCGCGCGTGTCCTTTGAAGCGCTAACAGCTATTGTTACAATATGCAAAGCTGTTGTGCCACGAAGAGAGGGAGTGAATTATGCATTGTTTGCTCTTATTGAAACTCGCTTTAGCCTCCCCCATTATGCCCTTATATTGTGAAGACTCTGAAGAGTCTGGATATCATGAATCATGTGACTTTTAATCTTGACCTCGCTCTTGACCTGACCCTAGACAACAAAGTTAAGCCCAGATGATTTGTGCTGCTTTGATTGCTCTTTTGCTTATGAGCAAAAATTCCTGAAACACCATTAAGGACTTTGAGAGACTTCAGAAGAATCTCAAGTCTCACAAATTTCTGCTGCCTTGCGCGAAGTTTGCCAACACGCACTCCCAGGGATTGGTGTTTTTTCGGGGTTTAGGGAGCCTCGCGCGCGGGGGGCGAAAGTCTCCATGACCACGAGACTCAATATAGAGGCACGAAAGAGTTGGGGCCGTGAAAAGTTGTAAATAGCAAAAATTGATGGAATCCTGTTGCATTCTCGTCAGCTAAATTTAGCCGCGGATCAGACGGAATGGAGAACAAGTGAGACCATCATGCCGGAGAAGTCCGCTGGCAGGTGATGGTCGCGTGCGGATCTCTTTCGATTTTATCAAAAATCAATCACGTCTGCCTGGAATCCGACGAGGCACGAAATGCCCTCCCATCTGCCATGGGGGCGCTGGGGAGAGGCGAAGACTTCCCCCACCCACGCATGAGGTGCACTTCTTCGCATCACCACGAGGCCTGTTTATTAGCCAAACAAGTCTGCCGAGATAATGTCAGCTCGCAATTGAGGGCGGAAGCAAAGCAGGACAGAGATACGATAAAAATTGCATGCGGTTATCGATTTCATTTTTTTTTGCAGACTTGCCCTTACCCTACTTTGTGACACCTTTTCGCGTCTTATCACCACACGAGACACAAATCTACTCACACCATCCGCGATGCTCATGCTGGGCTCCACGAGCCTCACTTTATCATGCCAAATCACTCGACACTGCGCGTAATTACTCGAAATTTTTATCGGAATTCACTCTTTTTCAAAAAATGCACCACTCCGATGACAGCGGGCTCGCGGCGAACGCGAAGAGGGGAAGACAGTTCGCCACCATCGAGCGCGCCAAACTCCATCTGCCAGATTCACGTGGAAACAAAATCTTGGCGCTAAAAATCATATGCTTCATCAGTGTTTCACGAAACATTCATGTTTCCTCGAGTTCATTGATAAAATCGTCAATACATTGAATTGAGTATTTTCTCTTTCTCACTCCTTCGCGAACTGTTCCTGACTTCTTGGCCGGCCTCTCCAGGAAGTGTATGTACTCAGGTGAAATGGACTCCAGGTATAGTATTCTGTTCTCCAGTGCCTTGATGCGCTCAAAAACACACTCAGACATTTTCTTGCTCTCAGAACTCTCAGAAGATGAAGAGACCTTCAAGTGACTTTCCATGCTTGTCAAGCGCTCGCTAATCCCGAAATCTCTGCGCAGATTATCACTTTTAGAAGGTGAGCCTCCATCAGAGGCGCGCTCTTGAAGCTTGTTGAAGACATTTTTATAGTTCTCGCGTAAAGTTTGCGGTCCGTGTTCATTCTTCACGCGACGAACTAAAAGACAATCACATACAATTTACCATCATTAGTAAACTATAGCGATTTAGATACCTTGCAAGTGTCCTTTGGAGTCCTTAACCCGAAAGAGTGCACACTTCACGCGAGCCGATGATTCCGAAACGTCTCCTTCGATAAAATCCTCCACATTGCTCGTATTGATCTCTTCTCGCTTTCGCTCGATAAACATGCCGATGCGACGCTGAATCTCTTCGTGATCTGTGTTAATCTGCACCAAATGCTTGGGCACATCGACACCGACAACAGGACACTCGCGGAAATCGAGCTTTCCCGCCGGGCGCTTTCTAGGCTTGACTGGAAGCGGAGAGAGAGACATTGTGTGAGGAAAGTATCATTTAATGACCTCTTCACAGACAAATTGCACGGGAATTCCTAAGATTCATGCCCCACTTGGTAAGGCAAGCTATTGCCATTGCACTTCGCGACATCACTCGACCAGCCGCACTCCCTGTTCTCCTTCCATATACCTTGAGCCTGGTCGTACTGCTCCTTCTTCCAGATCGGCACCTGCTTCTTCAGCTCCTCAATGGCGAACGCCGTGGCCTCGATGCCATCCTTGCGATGTGGCGAACTGATGGCGATCACCACGCTCGCCTCCTTGACCGCCACCTCGCCAAGGCGGTGGTGAATTGCGATATTCCTGGCTTGAGGCCAGCGCGAGCGAATATCCTGGCAAATCTTCTTCATTGTCTTCAGGGCCATCGGTTCGTAGGCTTCGTACTCCAACGAGACGACCTGCGAGAGAAATGCGTAAGTTATCAATTATCTTCCAAGATCGGCGTAAAACCTCTCCAAGTGCACCTTCTTATCTTCAAAGTTGTCTCGAGTGGTGCCGACAAAGAGGGAAATCGCTCCACAGCCCTCATTCGCCACGAGATCACTCACGTCACCCACATTCAGCCTCTCCTTTGTCAACTTCAGGAAGTCCATCCCGATGAGCTGCAGCCGTTGCTTCACTTTACAATTTATCCTCCGGAAATTGGTGGGATCAGGGCGATCTCGTCTCCCTCTTTTATCTCCAGAACTCCTCCTGCCTCAGCTGAGCAGTACTGCTCGTTGATTGCCACAATCAGATTCTCTCGGATGTTTCCAAATCCGAACTTATCGCAAATCTCATCTACAAGAAGATGACGATCAACTCTGGGCGGTACGCAATACAAAACACTCGACACTCCAGCGATTTCGCGGCACTTTGCGAAAAACAGCACTTTCACCTGCACTCGGTCGCTCATTGTCCCTCCCACCTGTGCATTGTTTCACACTGTGGCCTATTTTACTGCCCAGAAGAGTCCCGAAGAGCCGGAGAATCTCCTATGCACGTGTCACCGCTCAGAGAATCAGTCGCTTACTGTTCGCCGCGGAGGGGTAACGATGATTACGAAGCACAAAACGACCTTGTCCATTTGAACGTCTTCCCCTCCCAACGACGAATCGATGGCAAAAAATCGTAATTCACATTAATTTGATATTTCGCACTTGAGGCACAATTGGAAGGCCATGCGAGCGATGTCGTGATAGATTCTATGCGTGTTCACGCGAAATTTGCCTGAAAGTAGTCGAATTGCGGTTTCTATCTATATCCTTTCCTATGTGTCCGTTGCGATTCAAAACAATCAATTTCCATGCCTAAATTCTTGATTACATCAGCATGCTGGACTGGAGAAGGGAAAAAAGCGCATGATAGGCAAATAATGAAGAAATATAATTCAACCAAAGTACATCATTTGAGGGCAAAATTAACTTGCGTGACCGACAGTGAGGCTTATTTCTTAAACTTCTGCAGCTGCGGCGCCGAGAGTTTCACTTTTCCAGGAATATTCCGGGCTATCATCTCTTCCTTCACACTCCTGAGCAAGTCCTTTTCTCTATTGGTGCAGTTCTTGTCCTTCTGGAAGATCATTACAGCCATCTTTGACGCTTTGCCGCGTCTTCCGGTTCCTGGAGTCAATTTCACCTTGAATCTGGAGAGAGAGAATTATCGTCAATTGAGCACTTAAAGAGGCACATCATCGACATACTCATGTACTCACTTGTAATTGTGCAGAGTTTGATACGGTGCAATCACCGGAACGGCGAACAAGAGCTCATCCTCCTCCACTGGAGCACCTGTGAGGAAGTCCAGCATGTCCACATCGGCTGCTGCTGGAGTTTCATCCAATTCTTCACCTTCCACTGGCTCTCGAGGCTTCCTCGCCGCCACGTTGCGTCTGTTGAACTTCTTCAGTTCCTCCTCTTGTGCCTTCTTCTTCTTCTCCTTGGCTCCGCGACCGTCAGACTTGAGAATTTCCATCCGCTGCTTGCGCTCGTCCTCATCCTGATCCTTGTACTTCTTCATCTTCTTCAGTTTCCCCTTCTGGCCACGCTTCATTTGACCCAGTTTGCCATCGCCTCTGCTGTCCTCCTCATCAGACTGCGTCTTGCTCTCCGGCTGCTCCTCAATTATTGGCTCTTTGCCTTTCTTCTTCTGCTGCTTCTTCTTCGACGGCCTCGGATCGGCCGGAATGATGTAGGGCTTGTCATCACCGAGATAGATAGTGTTCTCCGGCTTCTCCTCAATCGACGTGAGACGCTCCATCAGCGCGTCCGACTTGAGAGTCACTCTGCCGGTGTCGTGGTCAATCTTTACATGAGTATCAGGATATTTCACACCAGACTCATCATCGGAATCCGAAGAAGACTTCCCATTTTCATCGTCATCCTTCTCCAGATCAATCTCCACTTCCTCCGACACAGTTGACAACTTCTCCGTGTCCACGGACGTTTGACGACTCAGCGATCCATCGTCATCCTCGCCAAATTGACGCACTCTGCGCTCCCCTCTGTGCCTCTCCACTGAGCTATCCTCCAAGCGGAACATGAAACTCATGCCCAGCACCAGTTGGCAAGGCGGCAGGAAGTTCTTCTTGCCGCGTATCATGAAGCTTCCCGTGCCCAGATATTCTCCCGTCGGTGCTGTCTTGCTCACCTGATCGCTCTTCACCCAGTAAGCGCTCGTCACCACTTTGGCATCCCACGCGACGCTGTACGAGATCGCCATTGTGCCCGCTTCCAGGAGTGTCTTGGGAGGAACTTCATTGCCACTGGGATTCCTGATCACCACACTCGAAGCACCCTGAATCTCAGCGTGAACGTAAATGTCCGTTGGCCGCATGTATCGCTTCACAATCATCTCGTTCTGCTGCTGATCACGTCCACCGATGACCAGATAGTTCTCCGAGCTGATAAACCAGTAGAACTTCTCGAACCAGTAAACTTTGCGCGCCTTAGAAATGTTGGTCATTGTCTTCACCTCCTTCAGAGTCTGATGTGTGCGTCTCTCGGCGGATTTCAAGGCTTTTCCCGATGACTCGATAGTCTTTTGCTCCTTCCGAGCGGCGATCCTCTTCTGATCGTAGTATTTCCGGGCATTGGCGAAGGCTGAGAGACACAAATCGACATCCACGACCATTGGTTCCAGCCTTTCTCTGTCTTCATCGTCGTTATCTGAAAGCATAAATTGATAAGATTGTGGAAAGTCTTCATTGTCAATTGTTAATTAGCCAATTTACCTTCCTCATCAGAGTCCTCCTCGAGATTGGAATACGGATCCGAGAGTTGCAGTGAGATGCTGTTCACCTCCAATTTCAGCTGTTTAATTATAAGCGCCACTGGATTTTGTTCGGCTTGAGCAGTCTTAACCATTTCCTGGATCTCCGGCCAGGCTAATTGATTCGCCAGTGCTGACTGGATGACATAGATGGCCTTGTCCACGAGCTCCTGATTGCGAGTGATGAGCTCCGCCCTGTCCCTGTCTACCAATTGATTCTTTGTGAGCTCTTCTAGTCTCTTCGCGTGATCTGTGCGCACGTTGGTGAGCTTCTTCATGGCGTCTCGCTCCTGTTGCATGGCCTTCAGATCAATCTTCTGGCCCTCGAGCGTGGAGTGAAACTCATCCACAGACGCATCGAAAGACTCAAACTCTTTGCATGGACGATCATTGAATTGCTGGAACGGAAAAGGATGATACTCGACGTTGACGAAGAAGGATTCTTCCTCTCCACTCTGCGTGGGTCGCTTTTCTTCTTTCTGGATGACAAAGCCCTTCGAGGGCGCACTGGAGGCCTTCTCCATCATCTCCTGAGCCTCCACGACAGCCTCCATTAAATTCGTCATATCGCTATCTAGTGAAAATTCCTTGCTTCCGTACTTCGCAGTATCTTTCTGCTTCTGCTTCCGCTTCTTTCCCGTCTCTGCCGGTTGTTCGCCTTCCTCGGCCTTCTTTCCGCGAACCTTGCACGCCAGAAGATCCCTCTTGAGCAGCACGTGGTCGATCACGGACGGGCCACAGTTGAGAAGGGGATTTAGAACATTCCTGAGCGCAGTGCCCGCCTGGGCGTTCTCTATTCCCTCCCGGATAGCCGCCTCACTGATTGGCCCTGTGTTCTGTTTGGCTCTCTGGAGAGGGTACTTTTCCCGGACAACAAATCGCACCTCCTCGCCTTCGGCGTGAGGCCGCAGCACATTGAGGATGGTCATTTCGTAGTCGCAAAGCAGCACATTACCGCGGTCGTAGAGCTCGAGGATTACGTGGTAAGCTGCCTCTCCTGTCCCGAACTGCAGATTCACAATTCGGTCGCAGCCCACTTGAGTCAGGCTCTCGAGGCGTTTGTTCTTCAGATGTTTCCTCAGCTTCATGGTGAATCCGGACGGAGCCACATTCTTGGGCCACTCGAAGGCTGTCGTGTGGAGTCTGTTGCCGGACTCCAGCAGAAGCACCACCTTCTCCTCCGTCCGCTGCAGTCGGATGAGGTAAGTCCTGTTGTCAATGTCGTAGATTTGATTCACCCTCATCCCGATGAGCCTGCAATGGCAATTGCCATTAGTTGTGAAATACTCCCTCAACTGTTCGCCCCATTTCCGCTATACTCACTTCTGCAGCTCCGTGACAATGCACACAATATCATATGTATTGAATCTGGTCTTCATTTTTGCACAATTTCACGGGATTCACGTCTTTTTTCGCAAAGTATTTACACGTGAAATTTTAGTATTTTTCCCTGATGCTTTTTGACATGTTCCAGGTCCACAAATCGTTCCACAACCCAGTGGGAGAGTTCACTGTTTGATAGCTATTTCATATTTCCGTAAAATTAATCTACCAAAGAATCTACTTGATTTAGATAATTTTAATCCGCAGAGTGTTCATACAGGTAAAGCTCTGAATATTTCCTAATACGATTACTATTTGCAGTAACAACACTAATTTTTCTTGGTACGCGCGTGACTTTTTATTTCCACATTTCTAGCAGTTTTGCAGTCAGTGTGTCTTGGATAAGAGCAGAAATAAAAAAGCACGGCCGTTATTTTATTCTCTCTCAATTTCTAGCATATTGTGTAAAAAAAATTATTCATGAAATTAAGGACCACAATTTATTCTTGAAAAAGCCTATTTTAACCAAAAGATTTCCTCCGCACGTTGAGGAGCGACTTGAGCTCATTGGGAAAACTCATATGAGTAAAAGAGACAACCATGCGCAGAACTTTCGAACATTCCTGACAGTATGAGACTTCTAGAAAGGATATTTTTCGGGCAAAGTTGCCAGTTGTGCCATAAATTTCCTCTTTCTCCCCAATTTTCCGCAATTATTCGTCCAAAAACACGGGGAAAAGTCAGTCGCAAGTGTATGTGTGGGGGTGTTGAGTGAAAAGTGGGAAATGGCTGCCTGTTTTGACAACTGTTAAGGGTAGAGTTTTCCAGTGAAAAATTTCACATCCACTTTTGCTGCCTCACCGTCGAACAGGAGGCACCATTTTCTTCGCCTTTCACCGAGAGAACAGTGCGTGACGTGCGTGAAGTGGGGCACAGAGACACTTTAGTTGGTGGTAAACGGGAGAAAAGTGCTGAAGAGAGAAATGGTGGAAAGGCGGATGTGAAAATTTCCAGTGTTGAGAAAAACAGAGACTGAAGACCCATATTTACACGGTTTTTTTTCTCCTCTTGGCCACTGCTGAGGAGCTTTTCTCGGGCGGAGAAAGCTCGACTTTCGGTGTGACTCTGTGAACTGTGGGCCAATTTCCATTTCCGCTCATCGAAGCTCTGGCTTTTGAGGGCTCTTCTCGGTTTTCGTGCACTGCATTGGGATGGAAAAGCCGTGAAATGCTATGTGAGTCTCTCCGTGGGAGAATCGTGATTAGCTGAGTGAATTTTGCGGTGTGTTCGTGCGTGTTTGGGGCGAAAGTGCGTGAGTGGAGTGCTTTGGGCGGAGAGGCCTGTGTCGTCAGAGGCTCGAGAGTTGGGCCGTGGAAAATCGATGAGAAAATGAAAGCACCACAAATATTACCCTGATTATGGCTGCAAAGCTCTAAAGCGCCCATATGGCCAGCTACTTGTGAAAATTGCGTCGTCGTTGTCCTATTTCCGGTGTGCCGAGAAGAGCTTAATTCTGTGTCAGTGTACATAGGCCGAGGAGGAAGTTTGGCAGAAAAAAGCACATAGGCGAGAGAGTGTCAAAGTGGGGCAGAATTGTGTCCAAGTACATAGGAGGTGAGGCAGAATTAAGCCAAGGTGAGGTTTTTCAGCCTCCGCCTCATCCATCCTCGCCTCTCAGTGTGACCCATGAATAGGAGAGGCGAGAATTATTAATTATTATGTGGAATATCTCGGTGTCAGTTGCGCCGGAGTCAAAAAAGCTCTGTGGGCGCTGCCGTGGAGGTGCCTGGTGGAGCGTTCTCGTGGAATATCGATGATCCTGTGAAGAGTGTGATGCCTCACGACGCTTCCCTGTGCTGAGGCGCAAAGAGACATTCGGCCCTAGGTTAAGCGACGAAGAGAGTTTCAGTTGAGATCCGCGTAGAGGCAAGAATAGAGGCGGTTAGGCAACCTAGCGCATAAGTCCTTAGTCATTTGTAGTGTAATCTTGTAAAAGTATCCAATTGTATGTAATCTCCCTGAAGTGCTACAATCTGAGAGTTTAGAGATAGTGATCACAGCTAAAGTCAAGTTCATAGAGTTACGTGCATGAGAAGAAGGAAAAAAGGTCAGTCACAGTGAGAGGGTGAATATGGCATTCGCCCTTGGAGTGGATTTATGAGCCACAATGGATTCTATGGATCCCACCAGCATCACCGCCAAAAGCTACTGTCATGGACCGCCGACGCCACAGCCGTCCGGCGGGGAGATGGTGGTGGCCAAGACGAAGACGCAACAGCAGCAGCAGCCGATCAACTCAGGAAACTACATCAACGTGGTGCAGACGCACAACCGCAAGTACTCTCCGCAGGTCACATCCGAATATCAGTGAGTGTCTCTCGATTCTGTGCCCCTGAAAAAAAAACTCTCACTAAGCTAATAACCTCTCGATTAAATTTGCGCAACACTCAACACAGATATCCCATTTTGATAAATGAATTAATATCACAACATCAAAGAGCACAAAGCGAACTAATTCATGCTGATATGCCGATTTCAATTGGGATCTAATCACATTTGCGAAATGTGATAAGTATACTCATGTCGATGCTTTTCAATTTTCCGATGTATTTTGAACTAATTAAAACTCGTGCGTTGTTTTATACACATATATTTATACATAACACGTGTCTCTCAATTTCCCAACTGAGGGGGAAAAATTGAGAAGCATTACACTGATCGACTAATCGATAGCATTTTCTATCACGAAAACAGGATACATAAAACATAGAACAAAAATAGACTTAATAAATGACACGAGATATTTTCCCTTTGTCCGAAAATGTATGGAAATTCTCAAAATATGATTTAAAAGCGTCGAAGAATTCGTTGCTTTCTGGCTTTTTGTGTGAATATTCATCCGCAGTTTTGTAGTATAATTATTTAAAATATTCCTAAGTTGAAAGAATGCTCATATTCACAAGTTCCTTTGCAAAAACTCGTCAGGAATGCTGGGGATTTCTTAAGAATCCATCTGCATGAAAAATCTTCAAAAGATGGAATATTTCATTCTCTCTTGTATGTGTATATGTACATATATAATACACTGCTAAGTATTATGCAAACGTTTGTAAAAGGATTTAGATATCTCGTCTATCGTTAATTAAATAAACAGCATCTCATCACGAGTTACAATTTTATGAGCATACAAAGGCAAATTTGCTTATCAGAGTTGAAATGTTCCTCTGGAGATTCAAAAGTCTCAATATCAATCAGAATAATTTGCATGTCAGATATTCAAACCCGTGTCATTATCACTTTCATTCTTCCCTTTCGTCCAAGATGTCACGTTGGGGAAAAAATCACATAGGGCAAACTTTAAACACATCCGAAGGGAATCTGCAGAATTTCATGTTCGGGACTTCCTTGATTAATTTTGCCGGCAGCCATGTAAAATCATCAAGCATCTCTCCGGAAAGGAAGCACAATTAGTTTTTATTGAGATAGAAGACTAACAAGTTTAGAGTTTGAATTGATATGAAAGCAAATGTAATAACCCCAGATTCTCATATATTGTCATGTGAGATTGTATATATAGGAAATGTTTATATACTCACGAAAGCACACAGATTCATAAGTTTACTGACGAAGTTTACTCTTTACTCCCAAACTTTGACTGGCAACTGTAATTGGCGCTAAAAAGTGGAGTGAATGAAAGGAAGTTTCATCGAAAAATCCCCTTTAGGCTGTATTTTTTCACTGTTTAGTCAAAAAAGTTGGGCGATATTATTAAATTCGCTGTTATTATTCATTTCTTCGCCATGCACTTGCATAAATCAATATTTTCACATGGAAATTGAGATGAACTTTCTGTATACAAGTGCAGTCAGGATAAGATCATATATAGGCCTAAGTTGGGGATTAACGTTTACTCTGCCAGTTGTCAGTGCCAGAGAATAAATTCAACATTTCTCCATAGTGTTTTCCTTCACAAACCACTTGACAAAGCCTTCCGTTTGTATGTATCGCTTGGATATTTTAAATAAAAATGCATTCGGATTTTCATTCAAAATGTGCACAAGATTGCAACTGAAAATATATTTCTTGTATTAAGCAACTGATTTGCTTTGTGAATGAACTTTATCTGTGATGGACGCAAAATTGAATTTTATATGGTTCATGAAGTTTCAAAATGAATTTCTCACAATTACACTCTTAGCATCCATTTGAATGGAGTATAAATGATTCTGAAAATTCACAGGAGAATGTATTTAATTTATAATAACTTTCTGATTCACCTTTGCATTTGAAATATTCAGACTGAAAAGTTGTCATTCGCTGAGTTATGCTGGCAGTGAGAAATGGCGTGACAAGTTTCGACTTCTCAGTGAAAAAGAGTGTTGGCAAATAGGGGAGATTCATGACTATGTGTGTAACTATATATCAAAGTGTGATGAAGCATCTCTCGATATAATGGTTGTGGGTTAACTAGTATGTAATTTTGCGCTAAACAGCTTTGATTGGCACGCGAAGTAGTGCTTTGATATGTACTTTGCAGCTACAAACGCGCACCTTACGCGTTAGCATGAGGTGAGAGACGCGAGAGCGATGGGGTGGGTGAAGAAAAGGGGTCCTCAATGTATGTGACGATGTGATAAAACACCTTCCAAGAGAAATTGTGTGTAAGACGGTGTCTATGTATGTATACAATTTTGCTTGATTGTGGCAATGCCTGTTAATAATTCAGCACAAAGAGGATACTTTTCTGGGATAAATTTCTGCGGGGTGTTACATATTTGATAAAGTGGCGGGATAGTGTTATTCAACGATCTTATTCTTTATACTCTCCCTTCTCCGTCTCCCTCTTGTTATGCTGGCATTTCGATAAAATAAAATTGCGAACAAGTGGATGAACTACGTAAGATGGATCAAATGGCAACATAGAACTATGTGATACATACACTACATGCGAATTTTGTAACATAACATTTTATACATATATATATGAGGAAAGTTTGGTTACATAAGGAACTGAAATGGCGGGTAGTCTGTCATCTTTTGTCTTTTGCTCTTCACTTGGATTATATACATATGTACATACTTATAGTGGAGTAGCTGTATAAACCCTTGAGCACATCGCATATATGTATATATTAATTTATTAAATTTTCCTCACTATATCGTGAACAATCGATCCCAATTCATGATTATATGTGACCTAGTCAACCCTTGCTGTTTATCTATATAGTTCCTCTCTGGCTGTCTTTTATCCCATCTTCGGGGGAGTGAGTGTAATATTTTCTTGCAGAACTCAACACCCTTGTGACTGGGTTTCTCCTCTGCGTCATGCTATTCGGAACAGTCTATTCAACTTAACCTGTGTGACCTACATATAATGTAACTGCTTCCAGTTTGTTAGGCAATTAACTCATCACTACATTAGTGAATATTTGGAAATTATTTAGTTCAAGTAACAGATTGTTCGGGAAATAATAGTTTTATAAAAAAAAAAATCAGTCCAAATTCGTAGTAAAGAATAATTAGAGAACATTGTTTTTCACATCATGGTATACATATAAGGTTTGATGTGTGGAATGCTTAGATTATATTTTATGCATAAGAAGGCAAAGAATTTTCCTTCAAACTGGCACGCATAATATGACATGAAGGTATGAACGTTTTTCTCCCCACCCCTAGAATATGTCACACAAATATGACGAGAAAGAATAATGCAAATTTTCTGCATTTCTTTCTTTTTCAAAGTATTTTCTCTGCCTCGGCTCGTGAAATTCTTCAAAAACGCTCCTATTCACAGGCCGCTCGTCTTTCTCTCTCTCTCGATGTTGAGAGATGGAGAGTGGAATTCATATGCGAAATTATTACACATGCCGTGGGTGTTCACATTGATACGGGTGACGTGGAGTTGGGGATAATGGGGTTGGAAAATGTGTATAATAAATGAGCGAACGGTGTCGTTACAATGCTGTGTAAGGTGCTGGGGGTGACACGATGGTGGAAAAAGAAAGTTGTACATGAACCATATATATACTTCTGTCACAGCTCAAAAGTGACAAAGTTCCATTATTCGATTCATTGCGACACACAAATACAGAGAAGGAGAGAGTTATGTTAAAGTTTCATTGTCAAATGCGAAGGGCTTTATTCATGTCGAGCAATTACTGTTCCTTTACACCAAGCGTAAATCAATTTTTTCGTACAGTCAACTGCATTTTTTCATCATATTTATAAATCATTATTGAAAAGGGAAAAGTCAACATACGTTGGCAATTTATCGCGGACTCAATGGAATCAATGTAGTGTATATTAAGTGATATAATACAATTGCATGCTTTAAGAAAAGTTCCGTACAGTTGTTAAATTAGTACTCTTCTCGGAATCCCTTGTAGAGGAGCTATTGAGCTTAAAAACTCTCTCTCCAAATACCATGGTACAACTAGTCTGGTCGGTGTGAGCAAAATGGATTGTCGAAAAGTGTAAAACGGAGGGTGAATACAATGGGTGAGGCGAGATGGGTGACCAAAAGTGGTGGAGGATATCCGCGTCGAATAGGAAACGGAGATGTTAATCTTTTATGGATGCTATGCAATCTTCATCTGGCTGGGCGCACACCGAAAAGCTCTTTTGTAAACCACACGGAACGATGAAACCCTTTGGCAACTTATCAATATTGTATATATTGAAGCCATCCCGTTCTTTTCGCTACTTAGATGGGTTGGGAATGAGCTACATTTCTCTGCCTACAACTTTCTTAATGGCCTCAGCTGGGGAGACACAAAGTGAGAGAATGGAGGAGAGCTATAGAAAAGTAGTGGAATCATGAAAGGGATGAAATTCATCCCCAGTGAATTGACTGAAAGTGAGACCCGACGATAGCACAAATGAGGGAGCTTTGCATAAAGAATCACCAGAGGAAAAGGGGTTCTTTTGATTTGTGCCATTTTTCCATTTCATTGCAATTTTTAAAGAGACATCTGAAGCATGAGTGGAACTTTAGGTCTTTCACGTCTTTTTCCCACAACTCAAAAGGAAACCCTAATTGAAAAGGGTATACTCTCTCCCTGTCCTCAATTGTGTCCTCTGTGTGTAGTGACTGAAAAGGAGATCATAAACAGTAAATTAATCTCTTTATATCACTTCACGAATATACTGCATAAAATAGAAGCAAGAGTCGTTTGAAAAATTAATACCATCCGAAGAAACTAGATTCAAGAACCAATTATTAATTTAAGTGTTTTACGCCTCTCAATGAAGTATTATCTTTATATCTCATGAGGATATTGGTGATGGTTAATACCGCAAAACCTCAGCTTTCAAATAATATATGTGTATTAGCTTCCAGCCTAGTTGTTACGGATTTAATTGCAACT